AGGCTCCCTGCATCTAGGAAGAATTGCATTCTGGGACTTGTAGTCTCCAGGGGTCCTATCTCTCTCTTAGAACTTTTGGGCTGCTCTATGGGCCATCTTGCCCCCTCTCCCTCCTCCCCCCCCCCCCCCAGGGCAGGTAAACATTCAGTGTGGTGCCTGGTGGAGGATGCAGCTGTGTGGAACCCACTAACTCTGATGTACTGCTGACTTTCCCCACAGGCAGAAAAACTAAAGGGCAGAAGTGCTTCCCCATCCCCCAGCTCTGTGTGGCGCTAACTCTCTGACTTCCTTGCTCCCTTTAGTCCTCATCCAGTGAAGCCCATAAGTGCTGCCGTGGCAGAGGTCTCCGGGGAGAAGAAGCAGCACAGGTCCACCCTGACCACTGCCCTGAGCAGCGGCCTGGAAAAGCTGAAGACCGTCACCACGAGTAGTGTCCAGCCAGTGACCCCTTCATCGCAGCTGGAGAAAGTGGAGTCCAAGAAGCTAAAGGTAGGGTCACCGCCACTGACCAATAGCACGTATTCTCCTCCCGCACCGATTTGTGTCTCATATTGGTGCTTAGTTACAGTGGTGATTGGAGGCCTAGAAATACCTAGCAGAGATCCCGTTGTGTGCGAGAACCCATTACACCACTGAATCAGCAGAGCTGCCGATACTACCCCAGACTCCAGCCACCAGGCCCTGTTCTAAGCCCTGGGCAGGGCCCTGCTCTGATTAGGGATGATGAGCAAGTTATCCGCTCTTTCCCCTTCACCGTCTGGACTCTGCCATTTCCTTGTCTCTCTCCTGCTGAGCTGGGTTTCACAGAGCATGTTCAGCCGTACGGAACCAGCAGGGTAACTACAAGACGCTGCACTGCCTCTCAATTTACAATCTCAGGGAAAATCTAAGGCCATGTTGTCCATAGTGCAGGTGGGTGCGTCCCTCCCAGCCCTGGTAGACAAACTCACGCTAGCTCTGTTTGAACTAGCGTGCTAAGACCAGCAGCGTGGGAGTGAGGCATTGGCGGTGGCTTGGGCTAGCCACCCGAGTCCAAGCCCGCCTGACCCCATGTCCGAGCTCAGGTGGCTAACCCGTGCTAACGTCCAGACTGCTGTTCTTAGTGTGCTAGTGCGAGTCTCCCCGTGCTGCGTAGACATATCCCAAAGGGTTCTGCCTGCTGGTGAGGGTGGGAAGGAAACACTTCCTGGAGCGCTGGGTCTGCCATAGTTTCTGCTGAGGCAGTGCTGGCTGGCAGCATTCAAAAGCCAGTGTGTGCTGACGGGCAAACCACAGAGTCTCTTTGCTGAGTTCATGGTTGCTTTCCTCTCTTTTTCCTATGGCTATTGCAATTTCTTGCTCTTTGCTTCCCCCAATTCCAGTTCTCCAGACTGTGCTGTGTGTACGTTGCTGTGTCAGCGCAGGGGGCTGGACGTGGATGGCTTCTCAAGGCCCCTTCCAGCCCTACACTCACGTACACAGAAATGCCACCATGTCACCATCACGCTCAAACACCCCCGCTGATGCTCTCTGTGCATCTCCGGATCCAGCCAGCAACCACCTGTCTTAAATTCTTCCACCCCCAGCTCGCAAATCTTATCCGTGTCTCCCGGGTGCTCATCTACCTGCAGTCTCCTCTCCATCCCTTCACTGCCTCCTCGCAGCTCCCTCACTGTTCAGTCTCCATTACGCCCAGGGTCTCTGCTCTACACTGAATTTGTCACCCTCTTACAGTTTAGCCCTAGAACTGTACAGTGCTTTAATACGCCACTGACACGAAAGCTGCTATGCAAAATACCCAGAACTAAAACATGCACCGATTATTTTCTCGTGCACACATATCAGTCTGAGTCGCAAGCTGGATTCAGTTCCTTACCGTGCATACAGTTTGCAGGTGTATTTTGCAAGGTACAGAGAGGGTCTCATTTAAGCTCACCGGGTCTGCTTCCTTTTGTTCCTGCTGTAGGATGCTGCTCTGCCGGACCAGTCTGCCAAGTATTATCACCTGACCCACGATGAACTCATCCAACTGCTGCTGCAGAGAGAGAAGGAGCTGAGCCGGAAGGAGGAGCACATCCATGAACTGGAGAACTACATTGACCAGCTGCTGGTGCGCATCATGGAACGGTCTCCCACCCTCCTTCAGATCCCCCTGGAAAAAAACACGACCAGCAAGTAACCTCTGCTCAGAGATCTCCTTGGCGTCACTTGCCCACAGCACTCCTGGAATAAACACGCCAAAGACACCGGATTCTGCCCCTGCACACACTCTGTCCCCACCTCTTACAAGTAAAACCCAAGAGGGCTTTGGTGGCCCATACAAATGCGCAGAGAGTCTTTCAGTAAAGACTAGCTGTATCACCTAACAAATGTGCACTAGCTCCAGGAAACGATCTCATCGGGGCATAGAACACTGCAATGCCCCGCCCAGGAACTGGACTTCTCCCCCACGGCCTGGCAGCATGGTTCAGGAACATCTCCTGCCAAAGCTGGAAGGAGTCCATGGAACTGGACGCCTGAGAATTGGAAATGTGCCATCTAGCCCCTGACTTCAAGCTACCACCCCTGCCTGTGTTCCCAAATGACCCTGGTCTATCAGAAATGGGGTGTCCTGGCTTGCTAAGAAAGTTCTCTGGATCGCTGCTGCTGCTGCCACAGCTGAGGAACCTTACGTGTGACACCGGAAAATCACAAGTGTGTGGCTCTTCCCCATCTTGCTGTGCATGCCAGTGAGGCAAGGGGCGAGAGGGAGGTCTAGCTTCACCTCTCTTCCTGTATTTCGATGGGAACCGTTTCTTTGCCAGCCCAAAGGAAAGGGTTCCCCATCCAATTAGGAAGCTCCTCTCTGAGCACTAAGTCCCTGGCCGTATGGGAGCGGAGACAAAAAGTGACACTGGTGAAATCGGCTGAGCGTGACTAAGCATGTGTCAGTGCTGGAGCACGAGCTGCGTTGGTAACTTTACTGCACGTTTGCCTCTGTGACAAAACCCACTCTTCCTTACCCAGCTCAGAACAGAACTTCATCCCCGTGGCTTCCGGGGAAGGGACCTGTTGATGTTCATGCAGCATCTGTCCCATAGAACTTCCTTCTCAAAGCCACCCTACCCATCATCTTGTTGGCATCAGTCATGGCTGATATTTCTGCACAGTATTATCTCGTTAAACACCTCTATTCGTGTTTACAGGGCATGTTTGAAACCACCATGGCCCTTGACACTACTTGCCTACTTCTTTGTATTTATCTTTTTGTTAATGTGCCTGGAAGATGCCGTAAGGAACAGAAGCTAGAGTGTGACTGCCCAGCCCTGTCTGCGTGCATGACAGCCCATTTAGCCAGATACAATCTATAATAAACTAGCAACTCACCACTCTAAAATACCCCCAGGATTAACATTATGCCTAGGGCCTAGATGTTTCACTGGGCCAGCACTCTCAGGAGGTGTCTATGTAGCGCTAGATTTTGGGGCCTCAATGAACAAGCTCCTCGTTGGCTGGTTGGTTTAGTAGCTGCAAGTGTGGTGAGGCCGAGGGCTTGACTACGAGTGGTACACCTGGGACAGTAGAAAACAGCATAGTTGCTGGTTCTGATGTGCAATTGGGCGGGGCCAGAAGTTGCTGTTGTCTTCCATTTTGGTTTTTAGCTCTTGTCAGTTTCTTCTCTCTGTTCCATCAAGGCATTGGGTGGCAGGTCCTCTTGCAGGTGAAGAAGCGGCCGTGTTATCCCATCGAGACAGTGAGGACAGGGCCTGGCACCTAACTTGACTTGGACTTCAGTGTCCTGAGCCTGGCAAAGGGGCATTGTTTCCACTGGAGCCCCTGGAGTTTTTGCTGGAGCTTTTAAGCCTTTTTCACATTCTTTCACTGTTACCTGTTTAAATGTATTAAAAGCGACTTCGGAAAGTTGTGCTTTTGGTAATAGAATAAGAGCAGTTTCCTGCTAAAATGGTTGATTCTTTAAACCCAACCTGCAGTCCAATGTATTATTGTCCTTACCTAGCCCAGCCTTGCAAAATTCTACTTGCCCGCCAGGCTCAGGTAAGTTGGGGGTGGTTTTGTTTGGTTTTTAAAGCAGATAAAACAGACCATCCTGGGCAAAGGGTGGGCAAGTCGCTTTGTGTTCCGGGGGTGGAACACTTTTATGCAAGGCTGGTGTAATTGACGTTTTCTATAAGGATAGTAATACGGGGTGTATGTGCCAAGGCAAAGGGTGCCTGGGTAAAGCCAGTGCTAGAACCTGTTAGGGAGTCATGCCCAAAGGAAGCGTGAGTCTGCCAGGGAGGAGAGAGCTATTGGAACAGGAGGCAGCATGTTGATGGGAGGAGCGGTTTTAAAAGGGGATCTGATATTACAGTAATTGAGAATTTCTGGCCATATCCAGTCTGTAAAATATCATATAAGGAGGAGGATCTTAGTCCCTTAAACACTGGCCGTGAGCATTTTGGTCCTATTTGCCTTTGTTTCTAATAGGAAAGAAGTCCGGGGTTTGCATTTATCTGCCTGCATTGTTGTTCTTTGTGTGCATGTGTCGCGGGGAGGGTGGGGGTATGTTTATATTGTACAGTTTAGGGTTTTAAGAAATGTATCCAGCCTTTTTTCTTCATACCAGTTCAAGTACCAAGAACTTCTCTTTGCACGTACAATCAAAAGGTTCCCCTGGAGGGAGACCCAGGTCCCTTTCCTGGTTGTATGCCTCTTGGAAAAGGTCTTCCTTTTATTTGAGGAGGAGTTGCATCCAGTGTGGTTTAAGGAGGCAAAATTTGCGTAAAAACAGTTGTGCAACTAAACCTACCACACCGTGGTGTGGAAGGGAGGGCATGATCAAAGACAGGCTAGCTGGAACATGGAGGCCTGTGTCAGATGGGTATTATAAAGGAGGGAAGTCGGTAGTATTTCATCTCTATGAGAATAAATGTGTCCATACTGGCTTTTCGGCAGCCTGTTTATAAAAGATGCCTGCCCTGTTCTGTCTGTCCTCTGAAATATACCTGCTTCCTTGGGGTGGCACAACTCACCGCTGGGGGACTGCCATCATTTCACTGTTCTTCCCGTGTACCATGCAGCAGAAACATACGAGACCAGATCATGCTGCCTGGTACCAAACGGTTCCTCCTGTTGGCTTGATCCCTGGACAGCCTCTAGAGCCAATTAATTGCTCTCTTGGATAGTCTTTCTTGTAGGATTTTGTTTGGTCTTCTCATCCTGAGGACTGACTTATTGTAGGTGCTTTCCACACCCACACAAGTGCCAATGTTTTTAAAGAGCTCTCTGCACCCCTATCCGCTGCTTCTTAATCCTTTTGTTACGATTTAATCACATCTTTCTGCCTTAGTCTGTTTTCTGCCTTTTCAAAGCTTGAATGTTTGGCACTTTATCTATTCAAGATAACCTTGAAGAGCTGCATCACAAAGAACTGTACCAGGAAAATGGACTTGTTTAACGGGAAACGTGTTTCCTTTCCTCCTCTCTCTGTATCCCACTGCTGTGGGATTGAACCCCATAGACCACCTTGCACCAAAGGAATCCACTCAGTGAAAAGTTGTACGTAGCTGAAAACGCTGCCAAGCGGATATAGTAGCTTTAAAATGTCCAAGCCTTGATTCTACACTGGCAGGGATGCTCTGAGAAACCACTTGGGGGACTCAGCGTTCCTGGTGGAGCAGGTACTGCATGGGCAGCACGACATCTGAGTTAACCAAAGTTAGAGTGTGGGGAGTATGGCACAAACCTAATGATGGTCATGGCTAAGAGGGTGTGGTCCATCCCTCCCCTGTTTTGGGTGTCATCGAATTGACTGTTAGAATGTTCAGAAGTCAGGAATTTGTGATTGAACTTGGCTAGGGAAAGGCATCCTTGAGGAGAGGTGTCTTTGGTAAGTCCACTTACTGTTTTGTCCTCCATTTCTCCACTGCCTTACAAATCTTTCTCCCCAAGTGATTATGCACCACATAATGGAGCAGAGAATTTTAAATATACCACAAGTGTCCAGAGAACTTGGTTAAAACCAGAGTGGCTATTTAATTAACATCATCTGGTACTAAAAAAAAAAATGTATTGGAGAGTCTGATGTGAAGATTTTAAAATGTAGATGTCTTACAGAAAGGAGGCAGAGGAGAGATGTATTTGTTCTAAAAACGATTGATGCTCCTGTCCTGTATCCGTATTTAAAGGAGGTGGTTGTGTAAAAACAAGGAGTTGAAAGTATGTCATTGTCCCTATGTACCAATCTAATGCTGGAACCCTCTTGGTGAGGGTTCGTCACTACAGGTGAGATGACTTTAGTATATATAGATCACCTTCCGCTGTCAACGGTGTGGCTGTTTATTCAGTTTGAAACAAAGCCATTCCCGTAACTGTGTGTCTCATCCCAGTCTAGTCGGCCTCTTCCCCACACAAACTGCTTTGCAGGGTTTTTCTGCAGATGTGTAGCTGATTGCATTTATGCTGTGCTTTGTTGTCAGCCCATAGGGTCAGTAAACTGTTTTTTTAAAGGAAGCCCATCAAGCAGTCTGTTTCTTTATTTTCTCTTCCGGCCAGGGGTTAAGGGGGTACAGAAGAGATGTCCAGTGATGACCTTAAACTGGAACAAACCTGAAGGGATATGGACACTGAAAGTGTCTTGTAAATCCAGTCTATTTGAGTTGGATGATCTTGTTTGTAAAAAACAAAAACAAAAAAAACCGGTATGTTCTGTGCTATAAACGTGTGTTGGAAATGCACCCAAAAAACCAGGGTTCAGACTGTTCAAATCTGGGGGGTATGTTGAGTTCCCTATTCTTCACAGAGTTGGAAAGTGTTCTGCTTATGTTTCTTGATTTAATAGTTGCAACTAATGTTTATAAAGAGCTTGTTATTTACGTTTTAAGCACTTTAAAAAAAATAAAAATTGTTCAAACTGTTCCTAGACACGTCTGATTTACTGATGAGAAGGGCCGTGCTAATTGGCGCTTGGGAACTGAGTGATCGGTTAACTCTTTTATTTCCTGAAATAGAATGATGGTCTCCTTTCAGTTTCTCTCTTTAGGAGTCGGGTCCGTTATTTTTCATTCACACAGAGGTCCCTGTGCTTCAGGAGCAGCATGTCTGTATCGATCACAATTTAAACCTGCGCACTTATAATGGTGCACCCTTACATAGTGCAGTTCATCTGTAGATCTCCAAATGTTTTTGCAAAGGGAAGGCAGGATCACTAATCCCATTTTTATGGGCCAAGACATGAAAATGGAGAAAGCCCGAGTGACTTGCTCAAGGTAACTCCGTGATTGCAGTAGGGCTAGGAATAGAAACCAGACTTCCTACTCCCGCAGCCTGCTCTGCTGTTCAGTGGGTCACCTTGCTGCTTTACTTATCGAGTTACGATAACTTTATAGTACTGTATTAAAAACCCCAACTAATGCCTAACACTTTCTTCTGTCCAAGTGATACACAGCATTTTGGTTGCATGGTGGGGAAACAGCAATTGAGAATCATCTGGCTTGAAACCTCCAGCTGCCATCTTATGGATTACTTAGGATGTGTCTTCACTGCAGTTAGCCAGGGCTCCTAGCTGGGTGTTGATACTAGCCCTCCTCTCATGAGTTTGATGCTGCTTTCAATCTGGGCTGGTTGTCCAGGCTGGGGGTGTGGTTTAGAGCTCAGGTCCCACTCCCACCCAGACTAGTAACCCACCCACTTTGCAGCTAGGATACAGACTCAATCACTTGAGTGCTGATAGTCCTCCAAATGCCTGCCCAGAAGGACAGATGGATTCTCCCACAATTCACTGGGAAAGAATCCTAGCAGCAGAACCATGGGATGTGCCCCCAGTGTCCAAGCATGGGGTGGCTGCAGCAAAACTTAGGTGGCGCTTTGCGGTGGCTGCTCACACCTGGGTGGAGCTAGGCTAACCTGGGTGCTGATCACCAAGACTAAAAGCAGGAAAGGTGCTTTTCACCTTAAAGGTGAATCGTTGCAAGGCATTGTACCCAAGGTATACTGGCAAACTTTGCCCTCATTTCCACAGTATTCCCAAACGTGTTTGCTTCTCTTTATTTCAGCCAACCCCTCTTCCCCGGAGGGAGGGACAAACCATACCTTGAGACACTCAACAAACCACCACCATCCATCTAGCATCTCGTTAAAGTACTGTCCCCTCCTATGCCTCTGTCAAGGAAGAGGGCGGATTGACATCAGATGGCGCATGTCGGAGTTATTCCGGGGTGGAGTATCGGGATAGCGGTGTTCGGGGTGGAGTAGGGCTACATAGGATCTGGATCCACCCCAACTGCAGAGCTATCATTTTAATAGTAAACAGCCCTACTGGCCCACAGATCAGCCCTGCTGAGCTGAAAATGTCTGCTCTGCCCAGGCAGGCTCATGTGGGGCATCCAGGAAGCACAGAGCCTGGATCCCAGGTAGATTCGGGTAGGTGGTTATTTTTGTCCCTTACCACACACCTTCTTCCTTCTTTTGAGCCATCCTTTAGAAATCAGGTGCTGCCCTTGAATACAAAATGGTGTACAAATGGGTATTGGCAAAACCACTTCTAAGGGGGAGAGCGAAGTTCTGGAAGATGCTGCGGCCTGAGTGAGAACTTAATTAAAAACGGGAGTACTTGTGGCACCTTAGAGACTCACAAATTTATTTGAGCATAAGCTTTCGTGGGCTACAGCCCACTTCTTCGGATGCATAGAATGGAACATATATTGAGGAGATATATTTATACACATACAGAGAGCATGAAAAGGTGGGAGTTGTCTTACCAACTCTGAGAGGCCAAGTAAGGAAAAAAAAACTTCTGAAGTGATAATCAAGATAGCCCAGTACAGACAGTTTGATAAGAAGTGTGAGAATACTTACATGGGGAGATAGATTCAATGTTTGTAATGGCTCAGCCATTCCCAGTCTCTATTCAAGCCTAAGTTGATTGTATCTAGTTTGCATATCAACTAGATATACTTAATTGGTCTCTCAGAGTTGGTAAGACAACTCCCACCTTTTCATGCTCTCTGTATGTGTATATATATATATATTTCCTTAATATATGTTCCATTCTATGCATCCGAAGAAGTGGGCTGTAGCCCACGAAAGCTTATGCTCAAATAAATTTGTTAGTCTCTAAGGTGCCACAAGTTCTCCTGTTCTTTTTGCAGATACAGACTAACATGGCTGCTACTCTGAAACCTTAATTAAAAATGGTAGGAATTGCTCTAAAGGACATGAACAAGATTAATGGGCCCAAAATGTGATGCCATCAGCCCAATACCTAAGGCCACTTATCTCTAGAGAAAGAGAAGCCCCCCCTGCAGTAGAAGGACAAGATTGTTTACTAAGGCCTCGTCTGCACTTAAAATCTATATTGACTTCACTACATCATTAAAAAGGGGATAGAGAATAAGACTGAGAATATATTATTGCCCTTATATAAATCAATGGTACGCCCTCATCTCAAATACTGCGTACAGATGTGGTCTCCTCATCTCAAAAAAGATACACTGGCACTAGAAAAGGTTCAGAAAAGGGCAACTAAAATGATTAAGGGTTTGGAACGGGTCCCATATGAGGAGAGATTAAAGAGGCTAAGATTCTTCAGCTTGGAAAAGAGGAGACTAAGGGGGGATATGATAGAGGTCTATAAAATCATGAGTGATGTGGAGAAAGTGGATAAGGAAAAGTTATTTACTTATTCCCATAATACAAGAACTAGGGGTCATCAAATGAAATTAATAGGCAGCAGGTTTAAAACAAATAAAAGGAAGTTCTTCTTCATGCAGTGCACAGTCAACTTGTGGAACTCCTTACCTGAAGAGGTAGTGAAGGCTAGGACTATAACAGAGAACTGGATAAATTCATGGTGGTTAAGTCCATTAATGGCTATTAGCCAGGACGGGTAAGGAATGGTGTCCCTAGCCTCTGTCTGTCAGAGGGTGGAGATGGATGGCAGGAGAGAGATCACTTGATCATTGCCTGTTAGGTTCACTCCCTCTGGGGCACCTGGAATTGGCCACTGTCGGTAGACAGGATACTGGGCTAGATGGACCTTTGGTCTGACCCGGTATGGCCTTTCTTATGTTCTTATCCCTCAGGGGTGTGAAAAGTTCACCACGGTGGTTAAGCCAATCTAGCCCCCGTGTAGACATGGCTAGGTCAATGGAAGAATTCTAGCTACCAACGCTTGGGGAGGTGGGTTACCTACACTGACAGAAAAACCTTTTCCATTGATTGTAAGGAGTGTCTACGCTAGAGGGGCGCGACTCCAACAGTACAGCGGTAGCGCCCGTAGTGTGGACGTGCCCTAAGGCAGCAGACTTGTTTTTAAAGCTTTCATGGGGTTACAGTCCCCAGACTTCACATAAGATGTTAAACTGAAGAAGAAAGTTGCTACACAACAAGGTTTGGGAGCTGAACAATCTTAGCCCCTGCCTCCTGCTAACACACGCCCACGAACACGCGCAGGCAGAATAGATTGAGCCGGGTACCCCTCCCTGCCTTCAATATTTTAACATTTTTCTGTCAGTCTGTAGTGTTTGACCTCCGGTAAGGTGTCTGAGGTGTATAGCCATCCCATCCGATCTCCCACACTGCACAGCAGGAGACTGGGGCAGGTCTTGGATGAGACCCGGCAGAAGGACAACAGCGGGCTGGCAATGCAGAAGACGAGTCAGTACTGGATTTGTGACCCTGTAGAGGAGCAGTGCTGCTGGAGCTCCTGATGATTCGTAACTGAAGATCCAGTAAGTGACACTCTTCATGAGAATAGGGGTATGGCCGGTGTTCTACAGGAGGGCAGACTAGATGATCACAATGGTCCCTTCTGGCCTTAGAATCTGAATCTATGTTCTGGCCAAATTCAGCAACTGAATTCTCTCTGCCGATGTTCCCACCTGCAGCTTCAGTTGGAAAAAGTACGCTTCCCTTTCTTGCCCGTGCGGTTCATTGTGGCTTCATGCTGCTAAACCCCTGATAAAGGAGGCTCCAATGTAAAAGGTACATTGGGTTCCTATAGCAGAGCCTAATGATGAGTGGGTAGGTCCTGTTTGGCTTGACAAGCCCAGAGGCAACTGGTGGGCCAGTGTGTAGGAGGGCCATTGTAAGTGTCACTAGCTCGCTTCCTTTGCAACCGCTTATTTAGGCACCTGATTTCTGAGCACCCATTTTTCAAAATCTTGACACCTTTTTGTTTCAGTAGCTGCCGCCCTCGTCTCTTGCTTTTTAGATGCCCTGCTTTGCATAGAAGTTTCTTTAGCCACAACAAAGGTGGGAACTTACCATATTCACCTCTAGGAGGGGGGGAACATCCAAGTCTAGGTGGTAGGAAATATCATGCAGAGGTAACTTGCATCTTCTCTTTCTAAACTTCCAGTCCGACAAGCTAAAGCTTTGGCTGAATGAAAATGGCATCTAAGAATGGAGATGCTTGCCAGTGTAGTGACAGCTGTTTCTGTTATTCCAGTGCTGCTATGTTAACGTGGGGACCTTCGAAGGAGAGCGCTAGTTCATTCCTTATCCATAAAGGCACATGAATGTGATGGAAACCAAGACAGTGGCTTCAATTTCATACCTCAGTTGAGTCTAAAAATGAATGTTTTCTGCTGCTGTTGAAAGGGGTGAATGAACTCGTTCCTCTGAAGGAAAGAGTCAAATAATCCGAACTGCGGCTGCTAATTGCAAAACTGTGTAGGTGCGTTATGTGTCGAGGACTCTGTCTAGTGGGAGCACTTCAGCGTCTGGTTTTACATCTTGGGGAGGGCATAGAGGATCTTTGTGCTTCTCGAGCGTTTTGCAGAAGAGGCCAGAGGGCAGCATGTTTTGTGACAACCGGCCTCCCTATAAGGGGTGGAAAGGGAAATTGCGATGGCGATTCAAAAGCCCTTTTGGAAAACAGATATTGTCAAATACTCTTTAACCTGCCATCATTATCAGCAT